CGGGGACCATAGACACAGGTTTTCCCGTGCCTGGACTCCACCACATGTGCTCTGCGGCCTGTGGTTCCACCTCCGCGGTAGGGGTGCGCCCGGCCCGGCCTAGCCCGGCCACGAGGTCGCGCCGCCTGCCTGGAGTGGGGCTGAAGGAGAAGGACTTCCCGTAGAAGCAGTGCAGGACAAAGGGCCCACGCTCGGGCGGCCTGGCGAGCTGGCGAGGCGCTCCGGGAGGCTGCACGCTGCAGCGGCTGAGCTAGAGCCTGGCCAGAGCGATCAGCTGACGCACGCCATCTTGGATGTGTAGGCGTTGCTGTAGCCACAGCCCGTCACAATGCCCTTCTGCGCTATAACGGGGGCGATACTGGACAAGTCTCTCCAAAAGTGAACAAACACGCTGCTCGTCCTCTGGACACGCATACGCGTCAGAGAGACGCCATCATTGATCGTCCACCCGGGGACGAGCCGGGGCCATGCTGAGCGACCACGAGTTCGCCTCGAGTCCTGAGGCGCAGGACGAGGACGAGGGACGCCAAGAGAAACACACCCAGTCAGTGGGTTGTGTACCAGCGGGCGCCCCGTAGGCGACGCCGAAAAAGGAGAACACAGAAAACGCAACATATTCACTCACCGGTTAAAAGCGGGCTTGATTCCAAACAGATACAGTAGCTGGGATTTTTCTCACTGGGTCGATGGCGATGACGAAGACAAGTACGGTTGTTGAATGGAAGGCGATTCTCACAGTCACACAAGGATGGGAATCACCAAGTAATACTGGCCGTACTGTCAAAGACAGGGCAAGCGAAATAAAATAGTCTCTAAACTTGAGCTGGGGAGCAGCCTGCTCAAATTACTGTATCCGTCGACACAGGGTAGCTTTTCAGCACATCGCAGGGCGAACCGAGCTCCTGTAGCCATGGAACGGTTCCTGAACACACACGGAACCAAAGTTTCACAAACGTCTTGAACACTAAGACCCTGGGCCCGCCCGGGAGGAGATGCAGCACTTCTAGCAGTCTTCCTGGACAGGGGGAACGCAGGAAAGTGCAGGGACACGGACGTCGTCTGCAGCTGCAGCAGAGCGGAGTGCTTGTGCGTGGTCTGCGATGTGGTGTGTGTAGCCGGCTCGTCTGCTCGTCGGGGCCACAGTGGAGCCGCCCAGCCGAGGCTGGCAGCCTGGTTGTGTTTTGGTCCCCTCCCCTCCCCGCAGCGTCACCTCCCCTATCCCCCCACTTCGTCCGGTCGCCAGAGTACAGCCCCAGCTGGAAGTGTACGGTTACGGTGTTCTGACTGGAGTCTTTCTTGTTTTCCATTCTTTCTCGGTATCGGCCAGAGGTATCAGAAGTGTGTCGCTCGCTGACGTGGGGTGTCGACACACATTAGTGGCAGATGACGCACCCTAGTAAGCAAGTAAGGTCGCGCGCACCCACCCCCGCCAGCCTCCGCATCTACCCCCGCCTCTAGCACAAGAGCTGATACAAGTAATGAAATACAATCCCGATAACGTGCTCTCCTTTCTAGTAATCTTGACTCGTTTTCTCACGTATGAGTGCAAAAATTGTACTACTTAACGTAACTCAACTTTTGACATATGTGAAAAGAGCCTCATCCAGTTCAAAACTTAGCGCCACACAGGTTGTGCGATTGCCAACTGCAAGAACTTAAAAAGCCGTTAACGTTCGAAATATTTACAATGTCAGCTCAAAAAACCATTCTGAAATAGATTTGAATCACTTTGAACTGCACATGTATGCGTTGGTTTTGTTCGTCTGATCTAGTTTCCTACTTCTGCAACGCGAGAAATCATACAAATATTCCTCCCTCCAATTTATTTGAATTTCGTTCTCTCCAAGAAGGCTCCGATAAAATTAATGTTTTTCAATGGAGGCTTGTTTGCACATAATGATAGAATTTGTGTATAATTTGGCGTGATTCTATCAATTTACTGTTTAAAGTTTAATTTTTTTGGCAGTGCTAGTAGGACCTAACCTCTTTGACTTGTCCTGCGTAAAATGTCACAAGCTGCCATCGCGGTGAGGGAGGAGAATCGCGAAGGCATAAGGAGTCGTTCCTCAGGAGCCAACTCCAACATGGTCACGAACATTAAAGATCACATCACTTGTACAAGATCTATGGAAAACTACACGTCGCAAGACTCGAAAGTTGGAATCGTGTCGTTCCCTTGTGATTTTGATCATATGTACGCCAGCATGAGTGAAGGAATGGTTTCTTCCAAAGAGAAAAACGAATATAAACACTTGAAAGAAATTTGTTTACAACACCTGGACCTAATCCAACAACAGTCTGAACTGATTGCCAAGCAAGAAAAACAAATTCAGACGTTGCGTCAAGAGAAAGAGAAGGTAAGAAATCCCTAGGTGTTCCGCTTCGTGTCGGAAACACCTCGATGTTGGCTTGCAGAGAGCCTGTCTGAACTTGCATCCCCCTACCATGTCAAGCCTTTCCTGCCTGTTCGAGCCCGACTCGAAATGTCCATAGACGATCTTGAGTCCACTTGGAAACAGTTTTGTGTGATCAGATAGGCGCCTCTAATTATTTTTAAAGAGTTTGTCGTCAGCGCCGTTCGTGACATTGTTGTTTTCGTACGAAATGTTTAGGATACCAGTTCGCACCTTCACACCGAAGCTTAAGTCGTGAGAAATTTATGTTTTGTCTCGCTGAACTAGTAAATAGATTGATTCTGATCAGAAAAACTGCATGAAATGTCACAAAGTTTACCGTGGCCATGTCACCACTCTCCTGTTTAAGTACTGTTCGACGAACAAAGGATCGGCTCAAGAATAGAGACACAACTGTTGTGGCACTTGTAGGTTATGTTTTCTCTGATTAGGCTCGCTGTCATACGTTGACTTTTCGTTTCATCTCTTTCCTAGTCTTCCCTTTCATATCTGTCGCTATCATTCTGTCCTCTTGATTTACTCTATATCTAATAATTGTGTGCCCTTGACTTAATAGGTTAATAAGGTTTTGTTCTTCATTAAAATTGCAGTTAAAGCAACGTATTCAACGATTAGACCGTCGGTCTGGCCATTCCAAGACAAATTGTGACTCTGAAAACACTGAAACTAAAGTTGGAAGGGGGGATCTATCATCTTCCCGACGAAATGCCAGTCCTATCACTTCAGAAACTGGAAAGTCTCCCCGACACAGAAACAACAGATCCTTTAGCCCCAAGGTTTGTTCAGATGCCTTTTATAATTATTTGTTACTTTGAGTCTTCTTTCTAACACCTGTGTCTTTTTCTTGTAGGAGAGATCTCGAAGTCCTCTGCAATGGAGGAGATCTGCTCAACGAAGACAGAGTGAAGACGGTGGAGCTTCTGTGAGTAGTGAATGTGAAATGCGTGATGATTCTTCTACCACTACTGTCAGTCAGCGATCTGCCCAAAGAGGCAAACGATCTGGTGGACCAGGAAGAAAACGTCAAAGAGGCAAAAGGAGTATTTCCTCTGGTTCAAGAGAAGTCAATGCTGATGAAGAACCCAATGAAGAAGTTCCTTTGTCTGATACCCGGGAGTCTAAAAGAGTCAAGAAAGGTGAGATGCCAAGGTTTCACAAAGGATTCCAGATTCGGAATGTTGTTTTTGTTACATTAATGTTGATTTTTTGTGACGGTGAAGATGAAACAGAACTCAGCTCAGGGGCTGTCAACCAAACCAATGCTGTACTTACTACAAGTGAAGCATACTACACAGCAACAGGCAGCTCTGAACCTGGTTGGTCTCTAAGTGAAATGTGCATAGAAACAGAGCCTGAGCCGGAACTTACTGGAGATGTCCTTGAGGTAAATTTTTATATTGAAACTTATATTTTGCCATAACATTCACTAACTTTAATTATAACATCTTTACATTTTAGACACCTCAGTGGCGAGTTAAAGTGTATACCAGCTTGTACTCAATGGAAGGCACTGAAAATTTAGATGATGAAGTATTTCTGAAACGTCATCACAGATTAGAAGTTGATGAAAGGAGAAGGAAGAGGTTAATACACCTTGTGTTTGATAGGTTTGATATTTTCATTTTAAAATGCTGCTCCTCCTTCTAATGTTTTGGGAATTTCAGATGGGATGTTCAAAGAATACGTGAACAAAGACACATAGAGAAATTAAAGCAGCGGGAATTGCAGTCAAATGCTCTTGGAGGATCAAAAGGCGATGGTCAATCTGAAGAACCAGTCAGTACTCTTTGGCCGATCCCTGATGATGCGCAATACCTAGAAGTGGCTGATGAGCTGCCTGTCGCTGCCTTTGGTCTGCCTGTTTCTAAGTTTACTCCAAGGTAAAAAACATGGGACAGTTTTGGCTCTTACAACTTTGTAATTATACACTATTCCAGACTTAAGTTTCTCTTTCTATATGTTACAGTGAATTCTCTCTGCCGTGGTTGCAGTCTGGTTCAAGTGATGATCACAAACCAACAGGGAAAAAACCCTTGAGAAATCGAAGAACAGCTTCAGGTAGCGCATCAGGGAGAAAAAGAATAGTAAGGAGAGGTGGACACAGGGGATCTCATTATCTCTCAAGTATGTTTTCTTTTCTGCTCTACTGTGTGTGATATGATACAATTAATACTTTTGTATTAGTAATACTATCCATTTAATTACAGGAAGGAGAGGTGATGGTGCAGAAAGGAAGTAAAACAAAAATAGTTCTGTAAGAAGTCATTAATTTCGCTGGTTAATGTCTATGTTCTTCATCACATATGACATTAAAAATGCTAAAAATTTCTTTCAAGTGTTCCCCTTTATATCAGAGTGTAATTAAGATTTTAATTTTTGCCAAACAATCATGATATCTAAAGATATCTTATAAAATCATTTTCATCAAGATCAACATTAAGTGACAACACTCATTAGCCCTTTAATTTCGTATCTTATTTCTCTATAATTTTTAATTACGTGGACCGTGAATGTACCTTTGTATGTTGAACAGGTTTTTAAACTTCTTCTAGTACCATTGTTTTAGTAAATTTTGTTCTTTTATTGTTTTTCAAAAGTGTAGGAAATATTTTGTTTGTCTCAATTCACATGGTAGCTTGTTTATTATTTTGGGACAACTGAGTACAGTCAAGATTTTATGGTTTGGAATACTTTAAAATATATTGTTGTTTCTTTTTTTCTTTCCCCCTTTTTTTTGTTTGCTTGTAAGAAAAATGTTAAACTTTTGTGGTCATGCAATATCAATTTTCATATGTGTACATATATAGATATATTTTACTACTGAAAGTTGAATTTTGATATGCACATTTTGTATATCAGTATATTTTTCAAAGATAAGTAGATACATGTGCCTAGTCACCGTTTGGTACTCTCCACTTCCAGTCATGTGGCTGTACTAAGATAATTGCTCAAACTTCCTCAGTGGTATCATAATCGAACTGGAGATTAAGTCATAAGAAGTCAGTTCTTTAAATATTTTGACTACTGATAAGAATGAGTATGTATTAGCATTCACAACCTATTTCAGGGGGATTGTTGTGGTGCATATCTTCTTGGTCTTCCATGTGATGGATAATGTGATCATCATTTGAAGTGTTTTTTGTAAATGTTTTCCTTATCTCCCTGTTAAACGTTTGTTAGATAGATGTAGGTATGTTTTAAGAGAAATTTCTTAATGGCCGTGTGAAAGTGCAGTTAGGTTTTCTGTTGTAACTGCATACAGGTCTTTTGTTTTTTTCTTTGTAATCAATTTGGTGTTTCTGTAGTAGCCTGTATTATCAGTAAATGACCGTATTTGATCATATTTCTGTAGTGATACAATGACATTTTAATCAGCTCATGCTTGATCTTTGAGTAAAGATGGTGGTTCCTTCTCACCACTCATTTCAATTTGGCTTACAAATTTCTTGGTTTCTGCTTTTTCAAATTAGGTGACGCATCTGACTACTACCAAAGTTTTAGTGTACCTACGTGTTAGATATTTGCATGGCTATATTTTTTCTGAATCTCAATTTTACTACCCATTGAGGGTGGAGTGAAAAAATTAATCTGCATTTGAGTCGGTATTTACCTCATACTGAAGACAAAGGCTGTGCAAGCTAATAATCTGTATTAATGTGACTTAAGAACTTGTTATGATTCTGTATTGCAGGTTATTTTAAAAAGCCAAGTTTTATCTCAGAGCATTTAAGAAAACTGGTTTAAATAAATGTATTATTTGTCAGGGAATTGTTTTACTAGTTACAACCTCACTTATAGTACAGATGACTTTATTGTAAATTACTCATGCACGTTGATAAAATTAAATAATTTGCCATAAAAATAAATAAACACAGCATTGTCAATGACTAAACAGTAATTGCCCGATTCTATAAAATTCTTATAGAGAATTCTTGGTTGAAGCTTCAATATCTTAAAGATACAATAAATTAGAGGACTAGAGCAAATCAGCAATTTTAGACTAGAAGCACTTGCGATGTACAATGGAAGGGCCAGACTCATCATACTCTTGTTTTGAAATCCACATTTGCTGGAAGGTCGAGAGTGAAGCCAAAATGGAACCACCTATCCAGACGGAATACTTGCGCTCTGGGGGAGCAATGATCTTAATCTTCATGGTAGATGGAGCCAGAGATGTTATTTCCTTCTGCATTCTGTCAGCAATGCCAGGGTACATAGTAGTGCCTCCAGACAAAACCTAGAAAGTAAATACTATCACTGTAAATATCAAGCACACTCAATTTAGTTTTAAACTTCATCGACACGCCTCCCAAAGAAATACTTACGGTATTGGCGTACAGATCCTTACGGATGTCTACGTCACACTTCATGATGGAGTTGTAAGTCGTCTCGTGTATTCCGCAAGACTCCATGCCCAAGAAGGACGGCTGGAACATAGCCTCCGGGCAACGGAAACGCTCGTTGCCGATGGTGATGACCTGACCGTCGGGTAGCTCGTATGACTTTTCGAGGGAAGACGAGGATGCGGCGGTGGCCATCTCCTGCTCAAAGTCAAGAGCTACGTAGCAGAGCTTTTCCTTGACGTCGCGAACGATTTCTCGCTCGGCCGTGGTAGTGAAGGAGTAGCCCCGCTCGGTCAGGATCTTCATCAGGTAGTCGGTGAGGTCGCGGCCAGCCAGGTCGAGACGCAGGATGGCGTGCGGCAGAGCGTACCCTGCGATGACAAAGTGGAGGATCGAGGAGAACGTGCCGATACATACTGACCCCGGCACCCACCAAGCTGCTACTCACCTTCGTAGATGGGGACGGTGTGCGACACGCCATCTCCCGAGTCCAAGACGATGCCCGTCGTTCGTCCAGAAGCGTACAGAGACAACACGGCCTGGATAGCCACGTACATGGCGGGCGTGTTGAACGTCTCGAACATGATCTGCAGAAGACAGAGGAAGGGCTGTTAGTCAAACAATTGACAAAAAGCATCATTGAGCGACGCCGAGACGGTACTGAACCTGGGTCATCTTCTCCCTGTTGGCCTTCGGGTTGAGGGGCGCCTCCGTCAGCAAGACGGGGTGTTCTTCCGGGGCGACTCGCAGCTCGTTGTAGAACGTGTGGTGCCAGATCTTCTCCATGTCGTCCCAGTTGGTCACGATGCCGTGTTCGATGGGATACTTGACGGTCAGAATGCCTCGCTTGGACTGCGCCTCGTCCCCGACGTAACTGTCCTTCTGGCCCATGCCCACCATGATGCCCTGCGGAACACAAAGAGGATCGTCAGACGGTCAGCTCTCCGGCATGGCGGTGCACGCTCACGCCAAAGAAAGGAGGCGGGCTTAACGCCCCCGATTGAGAGCTTTTATCAGTTTAAGTTGCGTGCCAAGACGTGCGAGCCTCCTTCCACGCGCCACTGCGCCTGCCCATTACCCCCTCGGCCTGGCTCGATCTTCATTAGGGGGCGCAACATAACGTTTCAGTGCTTAGGCGCCAGCCGAGGTGTACGTGGAAAGCACCGGGGGAAGAGAACGGGGGGG